AAGTGTATTCACACATACACGCTCATGGTTCTTGTCTGCTAGGACTCTTCTGCAGCTAAGGGAGTGGCTCTTAGTGGGCGGAGCTTCCCAGAAAGGTTAAGAAAGAACCATCTGTTCTTATGTGGTTTCAGACCTTTGGCATTTCCCCATCTCCCTTTCTCCTGACCTCTTGGAATGAAAGATAGGAGAGCAGGAAGGCAGAGAAATCGGATCCTGGATGACATGTGAGTGCTGCCCCAACCTTGGAATGCCTACCTCTGTACTTCTTGTGGGGTAAGACAAAAAATAAAATCCCTTTCTTTTTAAGCCATGCTTAATCAGGTTTTCTGTCATTTGCAGCTAAATGCAGAAACTAGGGAATATTTTGGAGTGGGGTAGAAGAGGAGAAGCACCCCCCCCCCAGACTTCGTCGGCTTTCCCAGTGAGTCCCCACTAGGAAAATTTATTTAAATTCTATTCAATAAACATTTATTAGACACCTGTCACGCACCTGGCAGGAGTCCCTCGTGATGCAAACGGTTAAGCACTCAGCTGCTAACCGAAAGGTCGGAAGTTTGAGTCCACCCAGAGATGTCTCAGAAGACAGGCCTGGTGATTTACTTCTGAAAGGTCACAGCCATTGAAAACCCTATGGAGTACAATTCTACTCTGAAACACATGGGGTCACCATGAGTTGGAATCGACTCAACAGCCACTGGTTTTATACACCTGGCATCGTAGTTCCAGGAAAAATTGGACACAGACCCTTTGCCCTCAAGGAGCTCACAGTCTAACAAGTGGCATTAGTGCCCAGATTGACATTCCAGCCATCCATAGGGGCATGCCATCCCACTTCCTTCCCTAAACGGGCTCTTCTCTTCCACTGAACCCCAACCTCAAATCTCCTAACTTGTGGATTGTTGACATTTATGCGTCACATGTGACCTACGCTTTGGGACTTTTCCCAATGGATCCTAATGACTTTTCGGATGAACAGATGTTTTCACAGCCTTGAGAAGTAGGAGTCATCTTTGTTCTTGTTGTTTTTCAACGTAAAGGCACGGGTCATAACTTTCCCAAAACCGTTCATACCTATTCTCTTATATCAGCTTACCATTAATACCATGAGATATGTTGATTGGGAAGCTACTGCTATCTCCATTTTTTAAATAAGGAAACTTGCCTGTAGTTATCTCTGACCATTTAGATTCTGAAATTTTGAGATAAGAGTGGAAAATAATTTCAAATCACTGAGGAAAGAATTAACTAGTCAACTAATGGTTTGAGATAGTTGGCTATCTATCAAAACCAGTAAAGAAAGCCAGATCCTAACTCTAATCCTACTTAAGGGATTATGGATTATATATGTATATGTGTGTGTGTGTGTGTGTGTGTGTGTGTGTGTGTGGTGGCACAGTGGTTAAGAGCTACAGCTGCTAACCAAAAGTTGGCAGTTTGACTCTACCAGCTGCTCCTCGGAAACTCTATGGGGCAGTTCTACTCTGTCATATAGGTTCACTATAAGTCAGAATCGACTGGATGGCAGTGGTTTTTTTTTTTTTAATGTGTATATATATATGTATATGTATATGTATACATATATATATACTAACAATTAACATGCTTGGCTGCTAACCATAAGATTGGAAGTTCAAGTCCACCCAGAGTTGCCTCAGAAGAAAGGCCTGGCTATCTATTTCCAAAAATTCAGCCATTGAAGACCTTGTGGAGCACAGTTCTACACATATGGGGTCTCTATGAATCAGAGTTGACTCAATGAAAACTGGTAGTGGTGGTGGCTATATATATATATATAATAATATACACCTTCTCATTTATCAACTATCTCGTTATCTGACATTTTGCATTTACGACAATAGTAAAAGATCTAGTACCCAACTATTTTGCGGATTAACACTGTACTTCTGGCAGTAACGAATGCTGAGGTGCAGGGTGACAATAACGCTGGCTTTGTTGGTTAAGGTCATGCGTCAGCTTGGCTGGGCCATAATTCTCAGTGATTTGGCAGTTATGTAATGATGTAACTTGGCAGTTATGTAATGCTGTAACTTGGCAGTTATGCAATGATGTAACTTGGAAGTTATGCAATAATGTAGTCATCCTCCATTTTGTGATCTGATGTGGTCATCTTCCATTTTCACATAACACTGATTTCACATAACAACCTGGTCTTTGGAACCTAATCGTTGATAAGTGAGGAAAGGGTGTATATATAACATATATGTGTATATTTACATATATATCTCAAAGTATAAGAAGAAAATGTATGAGATGCTATCTGCCTCCCTGAGCTGCCCTCCCTGTCCCTTTGAGTGCTTGCTGAGGCCAAGACCAGCCTCCTTAACGTTGCACTCTCCAGCCCTGATCCAGGTTCACAGGGCACTCTACTTATGCCCATCCCAATACAGAAATGAGAAGACTGTTTACCTGACACCTTCTATGGGGTGGACTAGGCACCAGGTACACAAAGAACAAGAAAACAGGGTCCTGCTTCAGGAAACACCCTGACTCGTGGAGGATTAATACGATGCAGAGGTGTAGATTTAGTCATGGAGGTAAGCACAGGGCATAGTGGGAAATGAAGGTAGGAGGAGTCTGTTCTGCCTGGCGAGGAAAGAGTGCCTCCCAGCCTCCCTCTGAGGACTGACCCCCTGGCCTGACAGATTTGCTCTGCCCAGGCTGCTCTCGGAACACTCAGCTCAGTGAGGGGTCAGCCCTGCACGCCAAAGCAGACAGCCCAGACAGCACAGGAGCCAGGAGGGAAGAGAAGAGTAGGGGGTGCAGGAAACCTAGCTCCTTGCTCCTTTCTTTCCGCTTCCTGGTGGCAGAACTTAGTACTCCTTGGCCCACTGCAAGTCTGGCAGGAGCAGCAATTCCTGAGTCATCCCCATTCTTGTGTCTAGAGGTTCTTTCTCCTTTTATGATCTTTAGGCTAATAGTCCCCAAGGGGTTCAGAGGACAGGCCCCAGTTCCCTGAGCCTGACCCACAGGTCACCATAGCAGGTAATGTCCAGAGGGTGGGCCTGGGCCCTCTCAGCCCTCCCTCCCACTCATCAGACTGGTCCGGGCCCCAAGATGTCTTCCTCACTTGCTTTGGTGTGGTGACCTTCTCAGTTGCGGCAGGCTCAGAATTCAGTGCTCTCTGAGGACTCCTGGAGCTGATGCTCTGAGGGGCTAAGCAATACGGAAACACTAGCGATACCTTACATCTGAGCCCACTTGTTACTTTCCAAAACCCATCCCATGTAAAGCACAAAAGTGCCTGGCAGGCTGGAGGGCAGATTGTGTCGACAGATGGAAAATAGACACAGGGACATCAAGTGACTTGCCCTGGGCTTAAAGAGTGACAGAGCCAGGGTACAGCCCAGGACTCCTGCCTCTGGGTCGGTGCTCTTCCCAGCGCTCTTCTTAGCTGCGGTGGTAGGAGAAGCCCGTGTGGAAGTGGGATGTCAAGTCACAGTCAAAAGGCCTCGAGACTTTTCATATATCTGAAAAAACCCTGATATCACTGCCCTGTCCTTTCCCAGGTAGAGGGGGGGCAACATCCCTCACCCCACCTAGCTACCCTGCCTGCACACACACACACACACACACACACACACACACACACACACAAATCTAATGCTTCTGTGGGAAGAGGGAGAGAGGATAGATAATAAGAAAGAAAGGGACATGCTGTCCAGCCTTCATGGAATTCTGACTTGCTTTCTTGGCTTCTTATTTCTTCCTCTCCTTCTTTCAAACCTAAATCTCCAACCACAGAAGCTTACAACTAAAAGAAACCCTAAAAAATCAGTTGCCATCAAGTCAACTCCAAGTCATGGTTATCCCATGTGTGTGAGAGTAGAGCTGTGCTTCATAGGGTTTTCAATGGCTGATTTCTTGCAAGTAGATTGCCAGGTCTTTCTTTCCAGGTACCTCTGGGTAGACTCCAACTTCCAACCTTTGGGTTAGCAGCCAAGCACCTTAACCATTTTCACCACCCAGGGACTTCTAAAAGAAACCTGGAAGACCATTTAATCCAACCTTTCATTTCACACACTAGGGGCAGTGTAGAGCAGGCTGAGGAGCCTGGCATTGGTTTCTTATATTCTGGTGCCCTCACTTCCCACTCATGTAACCTTGGGCAGAGTACTTAACCTCTCTGCCTTGCTTCCCTCATCTATACAACAGAGGTAATTACGGTCAGGGTGAGGGCTCCCTGCCTGGCACGTGACAGCTTTCAGTAAGAACAGACTACTATTATTAACTTTCCCCCCAAGCAGTGGGACAGCCGAGGAGGTGGAGATACGGACCTGAGAATCTAAATGACACTCAGGCCAGGGAAGGAGTCTGGAGCACATCCCGTGACCCTGCCTGTCCTGTGGGGAGCCAGCCTCTTCAAGGCGCAAACCTGAAATATGTCATGGGAGAATGGGACGAGAGCTTTGAGGATAATTGGCTCACCCCTTCATTCTACTTGGGGAAACTGAGGCCCAGAGAGCTGAAATGTCTTCCCAAGTCAGTAAAGAGAAGCCTTGAGCATTCCACCCAGATCCTGGGGACGTGGGGGGAAAAGGGGAGACCCAATTATTTCTCAACCCGTGTGTTTTGGAGTAGCCAATTTGTCCACGTCACTGTGGACGCTGGTGAAAGCCACAGCATCTCCGCACACAGAGCAGTTGTTCCACCAGGAAATCAATTTTTTTTTACTAGGAGGAGCTGAAAAATTATTTTAAAAGAGAGAGAGAGAGAGAGGTCCATCCTAAAAATAACCATAATGCAGAAGTTCTTCCTAAACCAGCCTTTTTGCTTATGATGCAAAAATCGAAATGTTTAAGAGTAAAAAGTTCAACCAATGCAAAGCTGGAGAGGTCTAGGGAAGGGAGGAGCTTCAATCAGAAAAAAATCTTTGCCGGGAAATCTCTGACTTTGTGGCTTTTTATGAATGGGGAGGTCCCCCTCAACCTATGTATAAAAGGGGGACCTGAGGTGAAGGTCTGCACATCAGGGGCTTGCTCTTGCAAAACCAAACCACAAGGCAGACTCGCAAAAGAAGGCAGAGCTCCGCCATGCACCGCTCAGCACTGCTATGTTGCCTGGTCTTCCTGGCTGGGGTGGGGGCCAGCCAGAGCCAGGACCCCCAGTCTGAGAACAGCTGCACCTACTTCCCACACAGCCTGCCCCACATGCTCAGAGAGCTCCGGATGGCCTTCAACAGGGTGAAGACTTTCTTTGTGAGTATGATTCCCTCCTGTCCATTCGCTCTTCTTGGGACTGTCTGAGCTAGGCACTCTGCTGGAATTGCAAGAAGAACCCTCCTCCTTCTTTACTCCATCCCCAGCACCTATGCCCTCCAAATTCAAATTCTTAAGAGAGTATATATAGTTCAGGCCACGGGTTCAGTGAGTTACGCTAAGCCCAAGATGATGAGGCAAATGTACAGGTAAAATTGCCTTAAAGATAAATGCACCATCTCTCCTATGCTCAGAAACTTCTGTAAAACCCCCTGGAGCTCAGATTATTGGCTGGGAGAAATCAAGAAGGGTCTGCTTGGAGGTGAAGATGTGGCAGGGAAACACAAGTTGCCTCTTCTCAGAAGGGCAATTGCCTTCCAAGGTTTGGGAAAATCCGTGCCTGGAGGAACCTGTGTCTGCAGAAGCCTCTCCTGCTAGGAGTCCTGCAGAGCCTGAACTGGGCATCCGTAGTCTGGGACAGAAAAGCAAAGCACGCTCCGTGAGAGAGGAGCACAAGTCACTGAAGGTTGACGCAAGGGCCCGTTAAAGCTTAGTCGTGGCTCTGCACAAAGAGGACCAGGACTGAGACAAGCTTCTGCCTTCACATCAAAGATCAGCCAGATTTTTTAAACAACTTGATCTCAAGGAAGGACCTAGTTTAACTAATGACTCTAGCACCATTGAATTGTTTAAAATTCTCCCTTCAGTTTTTGAGCCAGAGCTGCAATGATTAAAAACTCTATAAATAAAGAGGATCAGAAAGACACCAATTTCAGGTGTTTTCCCAAGCCTCGGTTCACTCTGCTTCTGTTCTTCTTGCAGCAAACGAAGGATCAGCTGGACAACATGTTGTTAAATAAGTCCCTGCTGGAGGACTTCAAGGTGAGAGCAGGGAGTACAGAGGTGGATGGGGGGTGTGCAGAGTGACTAAGGGAAGGGAGGACGGCTTCGTGACTACAGGGAGCTGGGGCTGCTTCCTTTGCTTTGAAAAGGAGAAGTGGGAAGATCTTAACTCAGCACATAGCCAGCAGCTGGAGGGTTACAAAGGGCTCAGCGCTGGCAGAGGCAGCTGGTTAAGGAGAGTCCCTGGGGACAGAGCTGTCCTCTCAAGCTAGCCACAGCAGCCCTTCCTCCCAATCACCACCCTGTCGTCTGGCTTCTGCCCTTAGGGTTACCTGGGATGCCAAGCCTTGTCCGAGATGATCAAATTTTACCTGGAGGTGGTGATGCCGAAGGCTGAGAACCACGGCCCCAACATCAAGGAGCACGTGAACTCCCTGGGGGAAAAGCTGACAACCCTCAGGGCGAGGCTGCGGCGCTGTGTGAGTAGAAAGCCAGTTTTTCCCCTGGAGGCTGTCCCCATCTCCTACAGAGCAGCAGGGCCACCCCAGGACACAACAGGCACCCAGGGACACAACTGGGCAAGGCAGCCAGAGTCAGATCTCTTGCTCATTTCTCTCTGAGCAGGGGGTGGGGTGGCTGCTAGGCATTTACATGTGAAGATTTGCAAACAGCTTTCCTGTTATTTGTGACTCATTTGTGGCTTATTAACTACTCCCCTCTCTCGTATGAAAGGGGCCCAGAGCTTCAGTCAGGCACCCTTGTCCCTTTGGACCTAGACCCTGGGCCTGGCGGGAGGGGATTAGAAGGTGAGGCTTCTGGGGAGAGCCAATCCCACTCACCTCTTCTCCCTGACCTTTTAGAAGCAGGTCCCTAAGTGGAGCCAGTGACATTTTAGAAAGGCCTGGGGAATATTCACCCCTGGGCAGGAGGGTGCCTCTTCCCCCAGATAATTTATGTCTCCACGTGACACGATACCCTCTCCACGGGTTTCCTTTTTCTCTCCCTGATATAGACACATCCATGGGGCCCTATTTGCAGGACAGGGCTGTGCAAAGGGCTTGGTCAGTGTTGCTGTGACCACAGTCTCCATTCCTCAGGGACTTAGAAAGGGTGCTTGGTGGCTGAGCCTGAAGTGGAGCGACAGGTCAGAGAGGCAGGAAAGGGAGACGCTGAGAATGCCTAGCTCAGCACTCTGGGAGACACGGTGGCGCTCTGGGGAGGAAGCCCCAGCGAGACCTGGGTTTCATCCAAGACTTGCAAACATCTCAGAGTGACCCCTAGAGAAATGCAGCTTGCCTCCCTATGCTGTGTTTCTTTTCTGTCCAGTGGGTAAGCATGAGGTTGGGCTCAGCTTTCCCAGGGAGCTGCAGGAGGTAGACATTCAACATACACTGCAGCTTGTCCCCCGAGTGCTGTGGACCCAGAAGCTGGAAGTCAGGGTGTTAACACTTTCTGTTTCCTCTCACAGCATCGATTTCTTCCCTGTGAAAACAAGAGCAAAGCGGTGGAGCAGGTGAAGAACGCCTTCGATAAGGTGAGCGCAGATGGTGGCCAAGAGGGCTTGGGACCACAACTCTGGTCATTCCCCGAGGGCAGGCGTGGGGGTGGCAGGTGCTAAGGAGGCCCCGTTCTTCACTCCGAGTGAGTGTGGGAACCTGACACATGGTGTGACCTCCTCAGCCAGCGAGGAGCTGCCACCTGGGTTATATTTGTTTTCTGTGAAGTGTCTTTGGGGGTTTCTAAATGACTGCTCCTCGCCTTCGCATGCCTGTGGGCTAGGCTGGCCAGCCAACCTGCGCACAGGGCAGGCAGGGTGGTGGGGAGAGTGACAAAGGAAACAGAAAGTAGCCTATTAGGAATCGAGGCTGAACCCACACGTGCAGGAAGCTGACACGTGAATGTGCACATACAAACACACCTGGGGTTCAGACTGGGCTCCCCAAAACTCAGACACAGCAGGAAGCAGAGACAAGTTCTCATTTGTCTGGAGTTGGTCCACGCTCACTTTCCATCTGCCACTCACCACCTGCAGGAGGTGGCTGAGAACATCAACTCCCAAACCAAATGAGGTTTCACGCTTCCAAGGATGTGACCTCTGTCCTCTTTCACGAGCTGGGGACTGATGCTGGGCCGGGTTCTAACATCAGGGGGCATGAATCTTCTAAGGGTAGACCTGACAGGCAGGGCAGGGCTAGCTCAATGGGAACACAAGCTTAAAAAAAGGGCCCACTCTTTGATTCCCTTCTCTACTTCTCTCATTGTCTTGCTTTTAAACTGCTTCTTCTAATGTCTTTACATCAAATTCTGAATAAGCATCATGTGAATATATGACCTTTAAAATTGTTGAAAAGGCACCATTTTGAAGACTGTGCATTAGGAAGCGAATACTGCTTTTGCTACCCACAAACTGTAACTCAAGCCTGGAGAAGACAAAGGTCAATGCACAGTCTTTCCCAAGACAGTTGGGCAAAGCCTCAGATTCCCAGGGTTGTCCCTTCACCTCCCAACACCAGTGAGCAAGTGCAGCTTCTGTGCCCCAGGGTCATGCTGCACCCAAGTGATAGGGGGGATCCACTTACTCAATCAGATGGGATCTAACTAAATATTTCTCTTCTCCCTACATAGCTCCAAGAGAAAGGTGTCTACAAGGCCATGAGCGAATTTGACATCTTCATCAACTACATAGAAACCTACATGACAATGAAGATAAAAAACTAAAACATCCTAGGAAGCAAAGAATCCAACATGGCGACTCCACTAGACTCTAGGACATGAATTGGAGGTCTCCAAAATCGGGTCCAGGGTTCTGGGAGAACCAAACCAGCTCCTTGGAAAACCCTACCGTGCCTCTCTCCTGTGATATTTATTACCCTGATACCTCAACTCCCATTTCTATTTATTTACTGAGCTTATCTGTGAACTATTTAGAAAGAAGCTTAATATTATACTTTTTTCAATATTTATTATTTTTCACCTGTGTTTAAGCTGTTTCCATAGGATAACACCCTATGGTATATGAGTGTTTTAAAAGAAATTATAAGTTATATAAAGAGAAAAAAAAAAGTTCTTTGGGGAGCCAACTGAAGCTTCCATCCTAAGCCTGACCACACTTTAAAGCTGTTGAGCTGTTTGCTCTGACCTCCCTCTAATTTATCTCATTCCTGGGCTTGGGGCTCCCGGAGTGTTACAAAGACTCTTAGGAAGGGAGCCAGGGATACCCTCTGATGATGAACCTTCCTGTGGCTCAGAGGGACTCCCCTAACCTCACTCCCCAACCACTTTATTCTTAAAAGCTGTGGCCAGCTTGTTATTTATAACAACTTAAAGTTGGTTCTAATAGAACTTAGTTATAACTTAAAGTATTTCAATTCCTCGGGGAATGTTACATTGTTTGTCTGTCTTCATAACAGATTTTAATTTTGAATAAATAAATAGATCTTATTAAAATAACGCTATGGTATTCGATGACTTCTCTCTAACTAAAATTGCCCCCTCAACACTTCCAAGATTGAACAGAGAAGGTAAACGAGTTCTGCCTTCCAAAGAGAGGAAGCCAGCTACCCTCTCCCATGAGGAAAAGTTACTCTCACTTCAAAAGCCAACAGCAAAGACCACCATGGTCCTCCCACGGACCTCTCCTTATGTCTTTAAGGAGACTAAAAAAAAAAAAGTTGCCATCGAGTCACTTCTGACTCATAGCAACCCTATAGGACAGAGTAGAACTGCCCCTAGGGTTTCCAAGGAGCGGCTGGTGGATTCAAACTGTCAACTTTTTGATTATCAGCCATAGCTTGTCATCACTTTTAACCACTGTGCCACAAGGGCTCCAAGGAGATAAAAGATCATGCTAATTTTCAAGACTAAGGATGTGATTGTGTTGTTTGTTGTTGTTGTTGTTAGGTGCCATCTAGTCAGTTCCAACTCATAGCAACTCTATGTACAACAGAACAAAACACTGCTGAGTCCTGCACCATCCTCACAATCTTTGCTATGTTTGAGCCCATTGTTGCAGCCACTGTGTCAACCCATCTCATTGATGGTTTTCCTCTTTTTCACTGTCTGTCTGCTTTACCAAGGATGATGTCCTTCTCCAGGGACTGGTGTTGAAATCTCCTACTATTACAGCAGAACTGCCTATTTCTCTTTTCAGTGCTGTTAAAGTTTGTTTTATGTATTTTGGAGCCCTGTCATTGGGTGCGTAGATATTTATTATGGTTATGTCTTCGTAATCATGATATAGTGCCCTTCTTTGTCTTTTATGGTGGATTTTGTTTTAACGTCTATTTTATCTGAGATTAGTATTGCCACTCCTACTCTTTTTTGGTGGCTGCTTGCTTGATATATTTTCTTCCATTCTTTGATTTTTAATAAGTTTATGTCTTCATTTCTAAGGTATGTCTCTTGTAGACAGCATATGGGTGGTCCTATTTTTTTATCCATTCTGTCACTCTCTGTCTCTTTATGGGGACTTTAGGCCATTTATGTTCAGTGTAATTATTAATAGGTGTGAGTTTATTGCTGTCATTTTGGAGTGCTTTTTTTTTGTGGTGCTGACGATTTCTTTGTTCCTCTCCTGTGCTGAATTCCTTTCATTTGTGGATTTTTGTTTTTTGTTTGTTTTTGTAGATTTTGTTTTTACTGAGACTTTATGTTTTTCTTCTTTATTTCTATGAGTAGGTTTGTTAACTTTCTTTGTGGTTACCTTGAAATTTACCCTTATCTTCCTAGGTTTGAACTAGTCTATTATTACTTGGCATCGCCTTGCCTTCCTCTCCATTAGAAAGTTCTATACCTATACCGTTAATTGCCTCTATTATTGTTCTGACATTGTTGTCATTTGCAGATTAACCTCTCTGGTTCCCTGTTGTAAATCTTTTGGTTTTGAATAGCCCTTGGGAGTTAATTTCCGAGGTTGGTATCTGGCTACTGCGCGTTCCAGATGCAGGCTGTTGTCTGATGTTGTTTGTTCTCAGACCAAAGGACTCCCTTTAATAATTTTTGTAAATTTTGGTTGGTTTTTACATATTCCCTTAATTTCTGTTTATCTGGAACTGTCCTAATTTCACCATCATATTTGAACGAGAGTTTTGCAGGATACAGTATTCTTGGTTGGCAGTTTTTTTCTTTCAAGGTTTTATATATGTCATCCCTTTGCCTTCTTGCCTACATGGTTTCTCCCAAGTAATCAGAGCTTAGTCTTATTGTTTCCCCTCTGTATGTGACTTTTTGTTTTTCTCTAGCTGCTCTCCAGATTCTTTCTTTCTCTTTGGTTTTAGCATGTGTAATTATAATATGCCTTGGGGATTTTCTTTTGGGGTCTGTCCTATATGGGGTTCTTTGAGCTTCTTGGGTGGTCAGCTTTTCATCTTTCATGATATTAGGGAAGTTTTCTGTCAGCAATTCCTCAACGATCCTCTCTGTGTTTTCCATTTTATCCCCCTGTTCTGGAACTCTGATCACTCGCAAATTTTTGCTTTTGATTGTATCCCACATAGTTCTCAGCGTTTCATTTTTCTTCATTCTTTTTATGATTTCACCTCAAAGTTGTATCCAAGTGTTTGTCTTCAGTTTTGCTGATCCTATCTTCCATTGTTTCTAACCTGCTCCTCAGGCCTTCTACAACACTGTCCATTTCTGAAATCTTGTTGTTTATCTTTGGATTTCTAATTGTTGTTTTTGTATGATTTCTAGTTGTGAATTTATTTTGGTATTTTGTTCCTGTATTATTTTCCTGAATTATTCTACTTTTTGTCTGTATTTTCCATGAATTTGTCTGCATTTTCCATGAATTTGTCCATTTTTTCCTCATTTTTCTATGCTTTTTGCTTCAACTCTTGGATAGCTCTGAATGTTAGGGATTTGAATTCCCTATCAGATAGTTCTAGTGCCTTTTCTTCTACTGGAAAGTCATCTGGTGTTTTATTGAGGATGCCTACTGGAACCATCCTGTCCTGTTTTTTAATATGTTTAATATGTTTCGGTAGTTATTTTCTTGATTGTAGATTTTATTGATTGTAGATTTGTTTGTTTTGTTCTGTTTTTTGTTTTATTTGGTTGTATCTGAGTAGGTGGGCTGTGCATTCTTTGTTGTTTGCTCGTCTGTGTACACAATATTTTTCACCTCCTTGTCCAATGGGCAGGGCCAGTCATTCAGCTATGGTGCAGCAGTGCAAGCCTAGCTGAAGGGGAACTGCTGGGATGGGATGTTTGTGGAAGGTACTGGAGCTGACAAGCTGAGCCAGGGGTCAGTGAAGGGCAGGTTCCAGTAGTCCATGCCTGTGCTGCTTGGGAGTGCAATGTTCAGCCCACGATGCAGTGTTCAGCACAGGTGCAGATAGGCAGGAGGGAGAGGGAGGGGGAGGTTGTGATCTGCGGAGCTAGGTTGGGTAAGGGAAAAGGAGAAAGGGAGTAGAGAGAAACAGGGGTGGAAAAAAAAAGTGCTGAAGGAGACTGTCATTGGAGTGGAGAGATAAGAAACTGAGAAATGAAGAAAAATAAAAGAAAAAAAAAAGAAAAATAAATAAATAAAATTTTTTAAAATGTCCCCAGGGATCCCTCCAGCGTAACTGTGCAGACTGGGAAAGTGGGTCCCAAGCTGCGCAGTACAGCCTGGCTAGAAGGGGTGGAGGTGATACACAGCACCAAGTGTTCAGGGAACAGGAAAAGAAAGTAAGTAGAAAGAGATGAGAAACTGAGAAATAAAGAAAAGGAAAAAAGAAAGAGAAAACAAACAAAGAGAAAAAGAAAAAAAAAGCCCCCAGGGATCCCACCAGCGTGGCAGCGTGGACCAGGGAAGCAGTGCACCAGCCAAGCAGAGCTTCACAGCCTGTCAAGAAGAAGCAAAGATGGCACACAGAGTCAGGTGTTCAAGAAAAAGGAGGGGGAGGAGGTGAGAGGCTGGGAAGAAACCAAAAGAGGCCAAAAAAAAGCAACACCAGCAACAAAGAAATGGCAGTGAAGAAGCTGGCCAGTGGGGGCAGGTCGAATCCTCAAGGCACAGAACGGGCACCTCCTGAGCCATGGTCACGCCCCACCAGGAAGCAACGAATTGGCCCACCAGGCAGTGGCAAAGGTAGAGCAGGGGGAGGCAGGGGGAGGGGTGGGAAAACGTGTCTCACTTGTTACTGGATGCTCTGTCTCCTGCTGGGAGCTCCGTGAATCTGCTTTCCCATACTCCTTGCCCGCCGATCTCCGACAGGAGTCCAAGATGGTGGATCCGTGCTGCATTAGGTGATAAGGGACCTCCGCTCATAACTCTCCTCACTCTCTGTTCTCTGTCAGTTTCTTACTCCATTTGATGCTTGCATTAGTTCTTTATCTCTTCTTTTGAAGCTTAGGGTTCCAGGATTGACGTTTGTGATGGTTAAGATTGTGTGTCAACTTAGCTGGGCCATGATTCTCCGTGTTTTAATGTAATCACTCCCATGATTGAATATACTGTGAGTAGCCAATCAGATGAAAGAGAGTCTCCTTGGGGGTGTGGTCCGCATCTGTATATAAGCAGACGTTCTGGCTTTTTGCTCTCTCTGGATCCTGCGGCTGCTTCCTGTCATCTCATCTCCCTTTCTTGGGACTTGAGCTGTCAGCTTATCTGCTGAACCTGGGATTCATTGATCTGCACAGCCTGTGAGTGGGAACCTTGTTCTCCGACCTTCTGATCTTGGGCTTGCCAGCTTCTGCAGCTGTGTGACTTGGGAGAGGCCTCTACCCTGATCCACGGACTTAGGAAATTCTAACCTCTACAATTATGTGAGCTGTTTCCTTGATATAATCTCTCTATATGTGTATATTTATACACTTTACTGGTTTTGCTTCTCTAGAGAACCCAGCCTAAGACAACGTTTGTCTCTGTTTTACTTAGTTTTCAGGTCTTTGCTGTAGAGGGACAGTGTGGTGCTTCTGCCTATAGCACCATGTTGGCTCTGCTATCACATTGTTTGGTTTCTTGACTGCTGCTTCCATGGGTGTTGATTGTGGATCCAAGTAAAATGAAATCTTTGACAACTTCAATGTTTTATGTTTATCATGATGTTGCTTATTGGTCCAGTTGTGAGGATTTTTGTTTTCTTTATGTTGAGGTGTAAACCATACTGCAGACTGTAGTCTTTGATCTTCATCAGTAAGTGCTTCAAGTCCACTTCACTTTCAGCAAGCGAGGTTGTGTCATCTGCATATCGCAGGTTGTTAATGAGTCTTCCTCTACATAGCAAAATTTAAAAATAGGCAGGAGAAGACTTTTAGTATGCCTTTTGCTTCTTCAGGCTCCAAAGGTCTAGGGATGAATACTACTCTGCCTGATTCTTACCTCACAGGCTTATCCTGAAAATTAAGTAAGATAAAGTGCTAACGTAGCTCCTGATACTAGGAGGTGGTCCCAGTGCGCAGGGTTGGTTGTTCTTAGTATTCATAACTATAAGCTCCTACAAG